GGATGAGAAAGAGGAGTCAAAAGTGGTCACTATTTTACAGACACCCAAAGGAGCGTATGTATAAGTATAGACTGCAGACTCTCTATGGACATTTCAGACTTCCTTTGTCTGTATGTTGTTCTAGAAGTTCCATCACTAACAAACATTTTCGATATAGTTTTTATTAGCAAAGAGTTGAGATAAACTTTCTTACTAATTTTTAATAATTCTATTTTTAAATTTTTATAGTAAAATGTACATACAATTTACCATGTTAACCATTTTTATATACAGTTTAGTAGTGTTAAGCATATTCACATTGCTGTGCAACCAGTCACCAGAACTTTTTCATACCCATTAAATAGTAACTCCCGATTTCCCCTTCCCCCTAGCCCTTGGCAGCCACTGTTTTACTTTTTGTCACTCTGAATCTGACTACTCTAGAGGCTTCATATAAGTGGCTCATTTCACTTCACCTGATATCTTCAAGGAATATCCGTATTGTACTATGTCAGAATTTCCTTCTTTTTTTAGGCTTAAAAATATACTATTATAGGTATCTGCTACATTTTGTTCATCCATCAATCCATCGATGCACATTTGGGTTGCTTCTACCTTTTGATTATTGTGCATACTACTTTTATGAACATGGGTATGCTTTCAGTTCTTTTAGATGTGTGCCCAGAAGTGGAATTACTGGGTCATATCGTAGTGCTATATATATTTTTTCCATAGTTCTATTTTTAATTTTTTGAGGAACTGCCATATAGTTTTCTATGTTGGCTGTACCATTTTACAGTCCTACCAACAGTACACAAGTGTTCCAATTTCTTTACATCCTTGCCAACACTTATTATTTTCTGTTTTTGTTTTGGTGGTAGTCATCTTTTTGGGAATGAGGTGAACATTACTATTTTTCATGTGAAATAATATCATAAAGGGAAAAATATTTTGAGTGGAAAACCTACATAAAGTTACTCATTTTAAATTTAAATGAAATGAAAGTTCCTTTTAAAAATGAGATTTCAGCTCTGGCCAGTGGCGCAGTGAGTTGGAGCATTGTTCTGTACACCATAAAGGATTCGGTTTGATCCCCGACCGGGGAAACTGATGGATATTTCTCGCTCACATCAGTGTTTCTCTCGCACTCACTCTCACACTCTCTTTCTTTTCTTCTTCCTTCCTCTCTCTAAAATATATCCCTGGGTGAGAATTAAAATTTTTTTTTCACAAAATATGCTCTGTAAAATCCATTTGGATTTTTGAACAAATTTCTTAGTATTCATTTTTGTTCAACTAATTTGCCCACCTTTCATTAATTTGCCCACTTGAATACTCTTAGTTCCCCCGTTAGATATAGAATTATGATAGGCAGAGAAAGCTTTTGCTTCTGCTACTAAGGGAATTATTTATAATTAAATCCCACATATCTATAAACTAAATGGAAACATGAATATTTCTTTACATAAGTGGATAGGTGAAAACTGAGAGGTAAAGGAAAAGCTCTTTTTATTAAGTGAAAACATTTTGGCTTATTCTTTCCCCCAGAAAAGTAGGCCAGCTTGCTTCTGTTTTTCTACAAAGAAAAGAGTTTGGGTTTAGTAGAATAAATCCAGATATTTGAATGTCCATCATTTCAGTGTAGACTGATATGTACCAGCAGGGTGGGGCCTTTGTCTTTTAAGAAGTCCTGAAGGACCTTTGGGTTTTCTCTGTTTGAGCAGACTCTTTACCCCTACCCCTAGGTTTATTTTGCCCCTCCTTGGGTTGGGGGAAAGAATTAAAGGAATAATATATGTATCAGACCATGCACGTAAAATGCAATATAGGTTTAGAAAACCAAGACACTGTCTCTGCTCCTTCCTCCTTTTTTTTTTAAGCCTTGTCAGAACAAGGCCACCAAATATTTGGTTGCCTCCCCAGAAAAATGGGAGAGAGAGAATATGTTGGTTTTTTTCTTTAGATTTTTAAAGTGAGAGGGAGAGAGAGAGAGAGAGAGAAACATTGATGAGAGAGAACATCGATTGGCTGCCTCCTGCACGCCCCCCACTGGGGATCGGGACCACAACCTGGGCATGTGCCCTGACTGGGAATTGAATTGGCAAACTCTTGGTGTGTGGGTTGATGCTCAACCACTGAGCCACACCGGCTGGGCAATTCCTTCCTCTTCTAACAACATACTGAGATGATAAACTGTAGAGATATTTAAGCAGGGCCCAGGGAAGCTCAAACACACTGTACTTTGTAAAACTGTCTTTGTGTATCTTTACCTAGGTAAAAAAAATTGGTTTCTTTTCTGAAGATATCCTTTGCCAGATGTTACACATGAAATTTATGATGATGGTCTCTTTCAGGTCCATTGTTTTATGCAGGAAGATTACCCCACACACACCCACCTTTCCCCATCCCTTAACAACTGTTATGACTTTTGAGTAGTCACGGTTCTGTCCTTTCGAGTGGGGGTGGGGAAATCCAAAATTGGAAAATGGGGTTCAGTTATAAACCTGAGGTGACCTCATCTCCACCCTCACCCCCATTATTAGGAATTTAATGTAGTTTTGTGTCTTTGAAGTAAAAGATGGTAGCGGGTACAATTGGTGTTCTATTTTGACAAGGCCATAGTTCTGAGAGGCTGGTCATGGATACCAAGGGAGCAGTGCTGTTTAAAGAGAGACAAATACTTGGTGTGATATGGAGTCAGTGTTTGCTATTAATTCCATTTGTGTTTCATCTGAAATCTAACTAAATTCAACATTTAGCCAGAAGTTAGTACAGTAGCTATGTTTTTTTACTTCGTTGTGGTTAATTTGCTTGGTGAATTTATTTATTTTTATTTTTTATTTTTTTATCCTCACCCGAGGATATTTTTCCATTTTTTTGTACAGATAGAATGGGAGGGAGAGAGAGGAAGGGAGGGAGAGAGAGGAAGGAAGAGAGAGAGAGAAAATCGACGTGAAGGGACACATCGAGTGGCTGCCACCCGCACGACCAACCAGGGCTGGGGACAAACTGCAACCGAAGTACGTGCCCTTAGCGGGAACCGAACCCGGGTCTCTCAGGACCGCAGGCCGACGCTCTAACCGCTGAGCCAAACTGGCCAGGGCATGCTTGGTGAATTTATATAGCAAACAAAACCAGAGTTGCATAAAAGGAAAAGTGTTATTTACTTTATGGCTTTTCACTTTCTAAATCTCCTTTCAAATTTTTTCTTTGGTGTATATCAACTAGCTTCTAAGATGTTCAATGTAGATATTTATGTAGTTTGGGCCTCAAACGACTTCTTTCCTCTGCCTACCCTCTGTTTTATTACTAAGTGCAGATCTTTTGTGATGAAAATGTGCTTTGGCAGCATCATCATTTTCTTGGAATGTAAAATGGAAACTGTGTTGAAATGTTCTTCCGTGAACTCACCCATGAGCTATATAATCGTGATAGAGCTTCACATTTTAAGGGAAAATATGATCTGACAAATAGTACTCTTTGGTCTGAAGAAATAATGGTTTTGCTTTCTAAGGTGTTTGGAGGAATGGTGTTTTGAACCTGTTTTCCATATTCCTAACTCATGATCGAAATAAGTGTGGCTTTACTGGTACCTAAGCTTTGCATGGTGTTATGTCTGTTCCTCTTGGCAAAATCGTCGTCCACCAAGCAGTAACACTTTGTGATAACACAGACTATCAAAAATTCCTACCCAGAACTCAATAAAATGCACAAAAACAGTACTAAAAACCAGCATCTAGTATGGAACCTAGGGGTTTGGTTCTAGGCCTGGCAAGGTGTTGTTTCTTGAATGCATATTTCAGTGAGCATCCATGATTAGAAGCATAAATACATTTTGGGGGGGGGGTAGAAAAATGGTCTGTAAGTAATAGGAAAGGTAATGTGGTTTTGATAACTGTGATTTTTCTTGGCAAATGACCTATCAGAGCTTGAAAGTGACAGGTGAATGTCGGCTGTTTTCGGCACCTAGAAGTTAGGCCACCCACTTCAACTTGGGTACTAGCCTCATTATCCTGCCATAGGCAAAGAGCTTACTAACTAAAGCAGCAGATATGTGAATAGGGGTTTCTGAGGTTCGTTCTGAAAGCCAGAGGATTTCAATGTGAGGGACTCCCAGGGCCTCATTAGTTTGCTTAACAGCCCCCCTGTCTCCTGCCGCGCCCCGCCCCCAAGTGTTGTCACAGCCTGAAATGGACAAATTACCAGTCTGTCTCGGAATGGTTTCTTAGTTGCTCCTTACTTGCAAAAACCTCTCATTCAAAAGTGGTTGATGTGAAATGGCTACCTTCTTCAGATAGACACAAAGGAGGCTCCTCCTGTTTATCCACAGCCTTGGGCTGTGGAAGGCAAAGAGGCGTTTTCCAAAGGGAAAAGTGGGCCAAGGAAAACCTGTCCGTTAGCCTCAAGCAGGTAGAAGAGTGTGAGGGTCTGAGGTACATTGCGTGGACTTCAGATCCATTTTACCTAATTTTATGATATAATTTCCCTCCAAAAGAACATAGCCTGGGAGAATTGATAAGTTATAAACATAACGATCTGCTTTCTGAACGTTGAATGGGTGGAAGGCCACCTGCTTCTCCATAGGGAAGTGCTGTCCTCATCGGCGGGAAGCAGCGCAGTCAGAAGCCGGAACCACGGGAGGAGGCAGCCTTCTTGCTCCTCATGGTCTTACCTTCTGTAGAATTAACCGAGCCCCTATTTATCTAGAGTCCAGATGTTCCTCTGCTGTACTAGTCACATAACTCAGAATATGAGCCCCTGAAAAAACTTTGAAGTGGATGAAGTGAACCTCTCAATAAAATGGTATACAGAACTAATGTGATAAATTCAATGGTCTTTTAATTTAAAAGTTTCACTGTGTTTTATTTAGTGAGGCATGGCAAATGCTAAAAGTATTTTTCTTATTTTTAATGATCCCTCTGCAACCTAATATCAATGATCAGTTCTTTTCTCTTAATTAGGAATTTTTTTTTGAAAGTGTTTTTGCTTCTGTGTGTGATTTTTGTTTGTTTTGCTTTAAGACCGGAGCGAGTACTCGGTAGATGATGAGTGCCTAGTGAAGCTGCTGAAGGGATGCTGCCTGAAGAACTTGGAGCGGCCCCTGCAGGCGGAATTGTGTTTCAATTATGTTATCCAAAGGTAAACCAAACGCGGAGCCAACCCGGTGCAAACTGTGGCTCCTGAGGAATTGCTACTACCCTTGTACTTGGTGCCCAGAAAGGGAACCCAGTAGTGTTTTCTTTAAGATCAAAATTATCATCTAAGTGGGACATGGCTTTGTGCATCTTCAGTTGTTGTTTCAAGGTGACACACGAAACTAAGTTTGTGGCCGAGCTAAGAGGTGTCTATCTAAACTCGGGCAGCAATGTATGGCATCTCTGATACTGTTTGATTGCTGCATTTGTTTTCCCATTTATTTATTTATGCCACAGATATCTGAGCACCCACCATGTGCCAGAGACTGTGCTGGATCCTAGGGACTCAGAGCTGACGAGGGAGTGATAGGATCTGGCAGGGAAGAAGGACGTGGGATCAACACGACAGCTGCTTCTCTTTTGTCAAAAGGCATTTCTTCTGTATATACATGAGGTTCTTTTTTTACTAAACTGAGAGCTGAGTCAAGGTTCTAATGCCTGGCTTTCTTCTCTAAGTCTGGAGTCATAAATGCAAACATCTACAAGGGCCAGACAAGACACCTTACTGAGTGACGGCAGGAATAAGGGACTGGTGGGCACTGCAGATTCAGGAGATTGTGTGTTTTCTCTAAAGAATGCAGCCACTCCTTAGTTTTCATTGATTATTGCTTGGTGCAGTGTAGAATAATCCCTGCAATTTTTAAAAATATGTTTGTTTTTTTTTAAATTGATTTTAGAGAGAGAGGAAGGGAGAGGGAGAGAGAGATGGAAACATTGATGAGAGCTGCCTCCTGCATGCCCCCTGCTGGGGATGGAGCCTGCATCCCGGCACGTACCCTGACAGAATTGTACCGGTGACCTCTCGGTGCACGGGACGACACTCAACTGGCTGAGCCACACAATTTTTTTATGAAAAGCCCGGAATCTGGATTTTATGTAAAATCTCCTGATTTTTAAATATTGGTTAAAAATTTTTTTAAACATTGTAAGCTGAGTAGATCTCAGCCACAGAATTCCAGTTGACATCTTCTGTTCCACTTCATGTGCTTTTCCACCCATGGCCGCTCTTCCTTCTGGTGTCCTTATAGGAAGAGGAAAGAGACCATGTCTATGTCCCAAATAAGTAATGCAGTTTTTAGTAAACATGTTAAAGAAGTATCCATTGAGTTCTGTTTAATTGGTGTTTTTATAAGCATCAAAAGGATTACTAAAAGGATACCCATTTGTGCCATTTGTTGTGTTTTAACAGTAGTGAATTGTTTGCTTCTGTGTTTTATAATTTTGGATTTTGAGTTTTTCTTCACTGGCATTTTATCTTGAGCCTCCTTTGACGCTAGGATTCAGGAAGAGTCTCTCTAAAGTCATTTTGCTTTTCTTTCTGCCAGGGGCCCTGAAGACTTTCCCAGCCCAGAACCACATTCATGTTCATTTGATTGCTTAGAGGTTCTTGGATCTTTAGGGCAATGTAAATGTAAATTGCAAACTCATGTGAGGACAGGCTACTGGTCATTAATTTCCCAAGGAATGTGTTTTTACTTCCCACCTAGAGCAGAGGCCAAGGGACCAGTGTTTTCCTCCTGTGCCAGAGATGGTTTTTCTAAACTGCTGTTCTCTGATGGAGCAGACTTTCGAGGGCCCTAGTTTATACAGAGGTCTCAGTCCTGCCCCTGTCCTGTGGGTGCAAGGCCTTATCCTCTCTTTGTTTTGTTTTTTGGACCTTTCAGGTTTTTTTTTTCCCCCGAAAGAGAGGAAGGGAGAAGGAGAGAGAGATAGAAACACCAGTGAGAGAGAATATTGATTGGTCACCTCCCGCATGCTCCCCACTGGGAATTTGGCCCACGAGCTGGGCATGCGCCCTGACTGGGAATCGAACCAGCGACCTCTTGGTGCATAGGTTGGTGCTCAACTAGTGATCCACACCAGCTGGGCTCATCCCCACTTTGGACACTGAAACACAAAGCCCTGGGTGGTTCAGACTGAAGGACCCAGACTGCTTTGGCATCATCCACACACTCAAAGTTTTGGTTTTGTTTTGTTTTCAGTTTGAGAATTTTTTTTATGTTCATGGGAGCTGAGCTATGCATTTGAAAGTGTGTTATTCGTATTTTTTTAGTGCTTGGAGGTATTTTGTCATCAGAGAATTTTCATAATATTGCTGAAAACAGAAGTGTTGACCACTACACATCGAAAGAGTAATACAAATCGAAGTGAACCTTCATGAAAAATAATACAGCATTCTTTTAAAATGGAACGCATTTATGTTCAGGAGGGGGATCTTGTCCTTCCCAGGGTTAATCTTTGAAGATCTGCATGTATTTATATCTCTAAGGGGCAGTAGCAATCCCCCGTGCTGATCCAATTTAGACCAAGGAATAGAATAAGAGATTAATATATTAAAAGCATATTATTGATTGCCATAGTTCATTAGAGTCTTTGAGCAAACTTTGTATAATGACAGTTTTTCTCTGGTAATTGTGCTGCTAAGCACTGCTTTTATGGGGGATGGGGAAATATGTATGTTAAAAGAATGATGTGTTTCTTTTTCCCTTAAGACTTAATTGCTTTTCATTCATTTAGTGAAAAGCTATTGAAGTTCGACCACTACCTAGTGCCATTTACAATGTTTGAGTTGGCGTTTTTGTTCAAAAGCCAAGGGGAGATGGACAAGGCCATGAAGGCCCTGGAATTTGCGAGGTGAGTGTTGACCGCTCTCCCTGGACTGCGCTGGAGTCGGGAACATCACACCATGAGCACGGCAGTAACAGTACAGATGCACTTAACAGTTCAAACGATAATGAAAGCTAGTGATAATGTTACCTTTGCTAACTTATGCTTAGTTTGTGCTCATGGCTGTTGCTGTAATTGTGTTTTTTTCAACCCTCTGAATGCCTGGCCCTGTGACTGTTTACAGAGGTGTGGCTGTGGGCTGCTGTATGACAGATATCTAGTCTAACCTATTCTATATCAGAAGTTGGCAAACTCCTGGGAAGGGCCAGAGAGTAAAGTATTTTTAGCTTTAGAGGGTAATGTATCCATTGCTGCTACGTAATTATATCGGAAGCAGCCATAGAAGACAGTATAGAAATGAGTGGGTGAGTCCAGATTTAGCCATAACTTTGCTAATAATTTGCTGACCTTTGGTATAATCAACCATATTTCTCATTTCCTTGAAGACCACTGATTTGAAGAAGTCCTTTGAGTCTTTCCCTCTTTTTTTTCTGTCCACTGTGGCAACTTCAAAGCACTCTATCATTTCTACCAGACAATGGCTCAGACATGTGATCATGGCTCACTCAGCGGGGCAACAGCCTTGTGGTCTGTTTGCCTTCAGAGATCCGCGCACTGGATAAACAATGCCTTTTTTAGTCCCAGGCCATAAATACTTTGGTGGTTCATTGGTTCGTTCATTTACTCAAATTCAGCAAGTATTCACTGAGCAACTCTTGTTTTTTTTTGTTTTTTTTATCCTCACCCGAGGGCATTTTTTCATTTTTTGTTCAGATAGAGTGGGAGAAAGAGGAAGAGAGAGAGAGAAACATCGACGTGAAAGGGACACATCGAGTGGCTGCCACCCGCACAACCAACCAGGGCCGGGGACAAACTGCAACCGAGGTACGTGCCCTTAGCGGGAACCGAACCTGGGTCTCTCTGTACTGCAGGCCAATGCTCCAACCGCTGAGCCAAACTGGCCAGGGCCTGAGCAACTCTTATCTACCCAGCAGTAGTAAAGGCTCTAGAGACAATTATATATAAACAGGCAATGTTCCTGCTTTCTTAGTTGGAGGATGATAGTAAATAAACAAGTAAAAAAAAATAATGGTATGTGCTTTGCTGAGATTTACAGTCTGATACACAGCACCTGGCAGTTGCTTTAGATGGCTTGATTCTGGAAGGTTTCTTTGAGGAGGTGATATTCTAGCTGATATTTGCCTTATCAGAGCCAGTCCTGAGATTAGTTAGCAGAATACTGTGTGGGGAACACTCCTGGTGGAAGCCACAGCTAAGTAACCTTTAGACTAGGAGGTTGAGTGCTAGGTCCATAATGATGTTTTTTATTCAGATGGGGAATATTAGAGATGCAGGTTTGGGGAGAGAAAAAAACATACTTCTGTTTGGAACATGATATTTTGAGATGCCTACCAGGTGTCCACAGAGAGATGGCAAGGTGGCAGTCAGCTGTGAAAGCATGGAGTTCGTGGAAAGATAAAGGCCAAACGTGGAGATCTCACAGTCACTAGCACAGACACAGATATTCGAAGCCGCAATACTTGATGAAGTCCTTTTGGGAAACAGCCAGAGAGAGAGAGAAAGGGGGGCGTGTCCAGCACACAGTCTTGGGATCTGGTATCATTTTAATGAGAATAAACAATAAGAGTAAGAAGAAATGGCCACTGAATCAGGATGGCATCCAGGAAAGCCAGGTGACAAAGTGTTTCAAAAAGAAGAGAGTGGCCAGTTGTAAAGATAGCTGCTGAGAGGTCGAGCGGGGCGAGACTAGAGACGTGAACTTGGCTGCACGAGGATCATTGGTGACTTTAACAAGTGAGGTGAGAAAGTGGAGCGGCTACTTCAGGCAACTCTTTCAGGATGTTTTGCTGTGAATAAAACATAGTAAGGGGCAGAAGCTTCAGGGGCTGGGTGGAGCCAAGAAGGCCTCCTCCTTCTTCCTCTCCTCCTCCTTCCTCTCCTCCTTCTCCTTCTTCTTTCTTCTTCATTCTTTCTTCTTCCCCCTCTTTCTCCTCTTTCTCTCCCTTCTCCTCCTCCTCCTTGTTAACAGGAAGATATGAGAGCAAATAACTTTGAAAGTTAATTCGTTGAAAGTGATAATGACTCATATTTCAATGGACACGTATGTGTCTTCAAATGTGGTTGATGGAAAATTGGGGACTATAAATATTTTTGTTCCAAGTATTTGTTATTTGGACATATTTAGTGTTACCTAAGCAATGCACAATAAGGCAAATTTAGCATGATGAAAACGAAAGACTAGTAATTCACTACTGAAAAATAAGAGCGGCAGTGATCAGAAGTCACCCCTAACTCAAGCCACTGCTGATGATGCCAACAGAGTCTTCCCAATAATTTCAAGATGTCAGTTGTCTGCAGTTTCCCTTATATAGTAGGAGCTTTGCAAAGTTGCCAAAATTAATGGCCAGACATTTAGGAAAATACTCAGTTACATCCTTTAGTAAACTCTAGTAAGATGTTATTTAGCTTATGAATAATAGCCCTTATTATGAATAATAACCCTTTCCAAGGTTACCAGTAAGTAGTACTTAGACATGTGTGCAGTGAAGGGCTATAGAGAGAAAGAAATGCCACAGCAAAGAACGAAGTTACAGCTCACCCGTGGGCCAAAGACTGTGTAAAAGCAGGAGCCCAAAGTCGAAGCCATTCCATTTTTTTTTTAATGTTTTTATTGATTTTTTATTTTATTTTTATTTTTTAATTTTATTTTAGTTACAGATGTTTCTCCTTTTTTACCCCATTGGCACCCTCCTCCCCATCCCCCCCACCCTGTCCCCAGCTTTGTTGTCCATGTCCATTGGTTATGCGAACATGCATGTAAGTTCTGTGGTTTATCTCTTCCCACCCCCCACCACCCCCTCTTCTGAGGGTTGTCAGTCTGTACCCTACTTCCATGTTTCTGGGTCTACCCTATTCCTCAGACTGTTATGTTCATTATATTCCATATATAAGTGGGATCATGTGGTATTTGTCTTTCTCTGCTTGGCTTGTTTCACTTAGGATAATACTTTCCAGGTCCCTCCATGTCGTCTCAAAGGATAAGAGATCTTTCTTTCTTACAGCTGCATAGTACTCCATTGTGTGTATGTACCACAGCTTTTTTATCCATTCGTCTACTGATGGACAATTGGGCTGTTTCCAGATGTTAGTTATTGTAAATAGTGCTGCTATGAACAGAAGCCATTCCATTTTGATCACTCTTAACAATTCTAGCAAAGAGAAGTCATAACTGATCTAAGTAAAGTTTTTAAATCATCTGTGGATTTTAATGGTCTGGCCGCTCTTTGCCTGTGAGAAATGGAAGAAGCAATTTTGGTATCACCATGTAACCCTGCTGTCTTTGTTGCAGTTGTTTCATGGAAGTTTCAGGATTATTTTTGGCGGAGGTTGTGATCGATCATGTTCACCTTATTTATACAAGGCTGCCTTAACATTTCCAGTGTAGAAAAACAGGTCAGCTGTTCAAGAATAGTTCATGAAATTGTGAAACCCTTCTCATAACTTTCTTGCTGCGTTTGTGAATGGTTTGGTAATTAAGTAGAACCTTGGTATTCAAAGTAGACTTTTAGGTCATCACCAGGAAGCTTCTAAAAATGAAGAATATTTTGCCATCCTCCTCGCAGGACATAATCTACATTTTAACAATATCCGCTGTTATGCATATTCAAGTGTGAAAGCAAATAAGGAATGAAGATGACAGGAAGGGGGGGTGGAGGTGGTACTCTGGTATACAAAACATTTTGACATTACGATCTTATTGTCTTTAGGAGCAACTACAAAGATTACTCTATGGAGTCTAGACTACACTTCAGAATTCAGGCAGCTCTTCAGCTCTGGAGAAAAACGTCCTCAGATTGACGAGAACCTGAAGGAGGCATTTCCCCTCCGTTAACATCAACATCTGCTATAGATTTCGACCTTGTATTAAAATGGAAAAGTCATCTTGTGGAATGAGAGACAAAAAATTAATTTTATTGTTAATATTTTCTGTCCTCTGTGTTGTTTACTGTTGTTATACGTGAATGTTTGTTTTTTTCCTCCCTGTGAACTATCTAGAAAATTCTTATATTTGCCTCTTCAAAACTAATTTCATATTAGATTTAAATTGGAGAGTGAAGAAGTCTTTTAAAGGACTCACAGGTACAATAAAGTTTAATTAGATTATTTATTTTTAATATGGAAATGAATATTGTTTAAGTAGCAGATGGCTTACAAGTTGAGCCATTTTTAGATTTGTTGGTCAGACAAATCAGAGTTATTTTGTTGCCTAATATTTAAATTTCAGGGGGGAAATATAATCACTTACATTCAAAATAGCTTGATAACCTTCTGAAACCTCCTGAAAAAGACAGGCAGTGGGTACGAACAGGGATGGGGTAATGTAGTTAATAGTTGAAAACACCTGTATCTATCAATCTATCAACAATGGTAAAATATTGTTATTTTTTTTTATTCGTCATGTAAGTTAAAAGTGGTGACATGTTTGAGAGACTATCCTGTTTTTGAATGTACTTAAGTCTAACAAAAATTTTTAAAGTATGTATCTAAAGGGAAGATAAAGTTATATTTTAGACATTATCCTTTAGCAATGACAGCCTAAAATGTATACATTGATTATTTTTCTTATAGGAAGCCAAGTAAAGTTCCTGCTGCTTTAAATGATATGTAAAATATCAATCATTTTTACACCCATAATGTTGGTAAGATCTAATTTTCTAATCTCTCTAGCACTGTGATGGTTCCTTGTAAATATCTGGACTGTGTTTAGTCCTCTAATTTGGAAACAATCAGGAAACTGAGTGGAAGACAGCCCGACCCGACCCCGTGTGGTCCCGGCTGTGCTGCCCTTAGCGGTCACCACAGTGACCTTGGTGGAGCCCCCTGCTCTCGGCGTCACCATATTTTCCTTGCCTGTGAAATAGAAAAGGAACAAGTGATTGTCAAGGTCTCTTTCGGCTTTTTAACTGTATTGTAGGTATTTATTTTCAGCAAACAATGTTAAAATGTTTAATCTGAATCACTCCCACTTAGAGCATGTTTTCACTGTCTCTAGCCCCCAGTCCCCAAATATGTGTATTTTGTGACTAAGGACCGGTTTGTATCCAGAGCGAGGAAAAAACTGGGGAATCAATGAATCAGGATTTTGTCCTATTTCTGTCTCTGTTTTGAAGACTGACTTGTCATGGAACCCAGTGCAGCTCAACAGAAACAGCCCCGGACTGGGAGTCAGGAGCCCGTCTCTGTTAGTCAGTAGTTCCTCAATACGCGGCCAGTCATTCACCTCTTCTGGGACTCGGTGTCCCCAATGGGGACAGCACACAGCTTGGTGCTGGTGAGGGCTCACTCAGATAATGCGTAATCGTACGCATTGCTTTGTGGAAACTGAAAGGACATGTGATCTGAGTTGTAACAATTGTGGTTTTTATGCACTGATTACAATATAAACATAGAGGTATTGGCTGAGCCTGTGGTCTTTGATGTAAAACGAGAGAAACATGCAGATTCTATCACCTTTTGATTTATTCTCGTATTTGGTACTGACGGTGGCCCAGATTATGAATTTATTCCTTGCAATTTATTCCCTGCAACATGAGCCTGTCCCCAGCAGGCATTTGCCTTGTTTACTTTAAGGTATTAACTCGTGATCAATATTGAGAATGTACTTCCAATTGAAGATATTAATACAATTGGAGTCAGATGATATGGTGGAAGATCTCAACATGTGGTGTTAATATGAATTATGTAACTTTACTGCAGGTCCAGACAAAAGAGGAAATAAAATAAACTGTCATTACAACTAGTAGTGGAAAATATGCTTAATAATTATTTTTTATGTAACTGGGGAAAAAAATTTTAAATCCCTTAGAAGAGCTTTGGTAGCATTGTTTTTTTAGGTATAAACACCCACATTGCTTTTGAGAGAAGATGCAAGTTAGAAAGTCAGTAAAAAAAAAATCTCTTTTGGGTATAAAATGAAAACAATTTAAGCTAATAGTGGTTATTTAAATTTGTTTAACTCTGTATTTTGAACAAATACAAAAGTAATTCATATCTATTTAAAATTTCAGTTTGTTACTTAAAAAATTTTTTTTGTTATTACTTCTTATTCTTTTTATAGTTGCCTGGTATTATGGGAAATCTGTCCAGTGGATTTTAAAGTGCTATACTATCACTAATGGTACAAACATTAATCTGTTTCTTGCCATGTTTAAGATATTGTGGTGACATGCGTTCCTTGTGACATCAGCTCATATTGCCTTTTTGGAGTTATTTTGTGACTCAGGGTGTTGTTCTGTGTGGAATGAGTACTGTAGTGACAATGTTTTATCTAGTATTTTGAGGGGCATATGTGGTACGATTGGGCTGCCAATGTGTCTGACAGTTTGTGCAATTTGTGTAGTTCTTGGGATAATTGCCTTTTTTAAAAAAAGGAAAACCAGAGTTCTGACTGGTGCTGTATAAAGTTAAGACTCAAATAGAGGTTATGCTGTATGGAAACATGGCAATGGGGCCCGGCTTCCGCTTCACAACTAAAGGAAGATAACTAACAACTCGTTTACGGACATACATTTTAATGTTTCTATGCTTCTCTTGGGTACAAGTTACCTAGAAAAGAGTCCATTGATTCTCCGTCTCTTCTGCAGGTGTGTCCAAACTATAGGAAAGTTATTCCAGGTCAGTCCGCATCAAAGATTTTAAATCCTTGAAACAACGCAACAGCGTAACCAACAGCGTAACCATCTCTTTTGCAAAGTTGTGGTTCCGCAGAGATTGTCGTCCCTGCCTGGCCTGAGAGCCACGGTTCAGCTTTGCGGTTACAACACGCCATCAGCCTTCGGTTAGGCCTTCACATCAGGGGGATATGTGTAAAGGTGAAAGTCGCCCCCTTTCAAAGACAAGTGTTTTCTCTTTTGAAGCTATATTTAGAGGTAGTTACATTGCGACATGCACGGATAGCCCCTCCTCTTGATAATACTCACTATGGTTCCAATTCTCACCCTTTCCTTTAAAGTGAGTCTGTTGATGTTTTCCTTCCTTTGGACATTAAATATAACCATTAAAAAATGGTCTTGTGACCAACTGGAAATATTTCTGGAATTACTCAATTCTTCATTGACTTTTAAAAATATTTTTTGTTTGTTTCTATTCTCTCCATATTTATAAATCATAAATTCAAGTACATTTAGAAAAAATGAATTAAAAAAGACTCCAGTGATCGTTTCGATACCCAAGATTTTGTGATTTATAAGGCCTGGAATGGATCATGGGAAATTATCTCCTTCCTAATTTCTGAAAAGTGTTGTCTCTCCTTCAGTCCTGCTCGGTCCAGTACGTAGCCACTGGCCACATGTGACAATTGAGCACGTGAAACCTGGCTGGTGGCACGGGTTGGCATGATGCTGAGTGTTGGAAGCACTTACACATTCTATTCCGGAGCCTCCTAATATTGGGCTGCCTGGAATCCTGGCTTTTACTTGCTGACTATGTGATCACCCAGTCACCACAGTTGCATTGTCAGTTGTGGTTCAATTATATTTCAGTGGGATTTGCTTTTTCTATTTAAGTGCAGGTGACCAGGTCATGGGCACATTTGAATATTATTCCTTCCCCAGCCCCCAGAGCTTCTTATATACTAAGGTAAGGGACTTTATTTTTTAAGATTACTATTTCAATCTGATTTTAAAGACATTCCTTGCTTTTTCAGGTGCAACAGCACAAACTGTTAGATTTGGAGAGGAAGTGATTCTTACCTTTGAGATGGTAGTAGATTTTATGATTAAAATAATATTTTATGTTTAACACCATTCTGAAAGTTTTCAATCCCTTTATATTATCAGAGTTTTAACATTGACTCAGCTAGGCCAGTGTTACTATTTAAAGATTTTTAGGTACTAGTTATTCACTCACAGAATAATTTGGCAGATAGTTTATTTAAAGTTATATATTCTATGCTTTTGCTGCCTTTTTTATATTTAAAATAACTTTTATCTTTATTATTGAAAGTATTACAGATGTGCCTATTTGTTACATCAATGTGTATGATACCTAGGTGAAATGCATACATGTCATTGACATATTTTAATCTCTTTAGATATTTATTTATTTTTATCCTCACCCGAGGACATTTTTCCATTTTTTATTCACATAGAGTGAGAGAGAGAGAGAGAGAAACATCGACATGAAAGGGACACATCGAGTGGCTGCCACCCACACAACCCAACCAGGGCCGGGGACAAACTGCAACCGAGGCATATGCCCTTAGCGGGAACCGAACCCGGGTCTCTCTGGACCGCAGGCCGATGCTCTAACCACTGAGAAAAACTGGCCAGGGCTCTTTAGCCATTTCTTGATCAAATACAAGATAGATCAGTAGAAAACAGTTTACAAATATTTAATAGACAATGCTTTTCCCTATTCTTTCAGAAGGAATGCCGGATTTCCTCCAGATTGTTTCCCCTCCCCTAGACCAATTGTTTACATATTTTTTCTTTGTTTGTCAAGGTGCTTGTTGTGCAACCCTATTCCTGCTTCTCATTGTTGGTGGTTTTGTCTTTTATGCATCTGTTAGATTTAGTTACTCCAGAATGTTGAACTTGAAATGTAATAAAAAGGACACATTCGAAGTTACCATGAGGGAGACTCTCTTGTGTCAAGCAGTTGCTATCTGAACTTGATGGTGTTGAAGTCCGCGCCAGTCTGTTTGTCAGAACTACAGAAGGAAATGAGGCAAGGACTAGTTAGTGGACTGAGAAGACTGAGCAGGTTCTTGGCCTGATCCACCCAAAGGGATATGTGGATCTAGTTTCAGAGGAAGTCCAACCCCCATTCTGTCCAGTTTATGAATATGTCAGCACAGCGATACTGGAACATGACTTTGCATGGAAAACTCAAAGCAGCCGCTCCACTGTGGTTAACTCACAAGAATTCACACGGATACCTACAGATTGGATATTTAATAGGAAAACTCAGGTACTTGAATACCAACCTTCATTAAATAAGACTTTTTGCATATTAATATACAATATATCTTGTTTGTTAACCCAGTATTTCTTAGAAACATAATTTAAAAGATGAATATAAGGAATGCTGGCATATCCAGGTGGGAACTTTTGTTTTATTGTTACTTAATATTTTCTAGTATATTGGTTTTAATTATTGGTAGTCTGTTTGGCACCACTTAGAGGAAAAAAGTTGGTCACAGTGTGAACGAACTGATAGCCAGAGAAATTGGATAAAGTGAACACGTTTAAGAATATTGCTTATCATTTTAGTTTTAAAGGAATTACGCTATTTTGAAATGCTGGTATCTTTCTAAATGAGAAGATATGACTCTCCCTGCTTTGGAAATCATGCAGGCATTTTTACAAAACTGTATTTATTGGGGTGACATTGGTTAATAAAATCATATAGAAGTACACAATTCTATAATGCCTCATCTGTATATTGTATTGTGTGTTCACCACCCCAAGTCAAGTCTCCTCCATCACTATCCCCCCTTTACTCTCTTCTACCTCCTCCGCCCCCCTTTCCCTTTGGTAATCACCATAGTGTTGTCTGTGTCTATGAGTTGTTTTTTTTTTAATTTATCCCTTCACCTTTTATACCCAGCCCCCCATCTTCTTTCCCCTCTGACAGCTGTCCGTCTGTTCTGTTTCTGAATCTGTTTCTATTTTCTTCATCAATTTATTTTGCTCATTAGATTCCATATATAAGTGAGATCATATGATATTTGTTTCCCTCTGACTGGCTTATTATACTTAGCATAATACTCTCCAGGTCCATCCATGCTGTCACAAAAGGTAAGATTTTGTTCTTTTTTTATGGCCGAGTAGTATTCCATTGCATAAATGTAGCACAGCTTTCCCCCCACTCATCTGTTGATGGGCACTTGGGCTGCTTCCAAACTTGGCTATTATAAATAACGCTGCAGTGAACAGAGGGATGCATATATTGTTTTGAGTTAGAAGTGGAATTGCTGGGTCATAAGGCAGTTCCATTTAAAGTTTTTTGAGGACACTCCATACTTCTTTCCAGAGTGGCTGCACCAGTCTGCATTCCCACCAACAGTGCATGAGAGTTTCCTTTTCTCTACATCCTCACCAACACTTGTTTGTTGATTTATTGATGACAGCCATTCTGATAGGTGGGAGATGGAGATGATATCTCATTGTGATTTTAATTTGCATTTTCTCTGATGATTAGTGATGTTGAGCATCTTTTCATATGTCTATTGACCATCTGTATGTTCTATTTGGAGAAGTGTCTATTCCTGTCCTTTGCCCATTTTAACTGGATTATTTGGTGTTGAGTTTTATGAGTTCTTTGTAATTAGTGAATAAGTTCACCCATTTGGTTATCTTTTCATTTTTTGTTGATGGTGGTATTTGCTGTGAAACAGACATTTTAATTCATTCTTATTTTTATTGGAGCCAAGTGTTCAGGTGGCAATTTTGGGCATAGTAAATGAGTTTAATTTGTTTTCATGAATTACATCAAATTTTTTCTGAAGTGATTTTATGACACTTGGTAGACAGTTGCTTTCTGTACAGCAATTTGTTTTTTAAGAAAATGATTTACATGAAAAGAGATTATGGTAAGCATTAGAAATCTTAGGCTATTTATTTAATGTCTTAAAAGACAGTACTGCCCTGGTCAGTTTGGCTCAGCGGTTAGAGTGTTGGCCCACAGACCAACGAGTCACGGGTTCGATTCCGCTCAAGGGCACGTAACTCTGGTGCGGTTAGCCCCGGCCCTGGTTGGGTTGTGCGGGAGGCAACCAGTCGATGTGTCTCTCTTACATCAATGTTTCTTTCTCTTTCTCCCTCCCTCCCATCCT